TCGATCAATGGTTTTTAATCGTTGACATATTTTTAAACATGTGAATATTCAACATGTTCTTGTTGTGTTCTTTTATCACATTGTATTTTCTTTGTAAAAGCATCATCTGTCCTCATAGCTTGCCTCTATGTGCCTTAGATTGTGTAAAATACTTATATGTGTCTGCTGCTGGTGTGTGTTTATATTTTCCAGACAACATTGCACTTTCTCAGTCTCTGCTCCTCAGCTGAATCCCAACAGGCAACAGGAGATAAGACAAGCCAGGTCGCCCATAACAACCACTGTGACCACTCAGAGACCTCCGTGCATAACCGCAACTAGGAAGTGAGCTAATTAACCTGGAGTTCAAGGCGGAAGGAGAGCGAATTTTAATAAGATTCTCCTGGTTATATAAACAAACTCCAAGGAATATTATCACCCCGCGTCTGTCCATCTGCTGCAGGGAAGAGGAAGAGGAGGAGGAGGAGGAGGAGGAGGAGGAGGAGGAGGAGGAGGAACTTCTTCTTTTTTTTTGTGAGGGGAGAGTTCATTTCCTTGTTGTTTTTTTTTGCTTCTCCTACTTTGTTTCAGTAGTCCACTTGCTGTAACCAGGGAGATGTTGTGGGTTTTATAAATAGAAACTGTCCCCAAAATAACAGGTCAAGTTGAAGATGATTGAACTCCCTCTGGGAAGTTTGAACTGAGCACGTTATGCTCTGTCCGGTGCAGCAGTAGTTTCACATTGGAGAGGTCTGAATGTTTAACTCAAGCTGCTAAACTCTGTGCCGCTTCACATAAGCTTATATCATTCCCTTTGACCTGTGTTATCCTCAATTCTTTGGAACCCTTTTTTAGTCATGTCTGCTGATTTAAATGAGTTTTGATCTAACTTCTTTCTATTATAAGGTGAAATGTTCACCAAATCCACAGCTGATGTTGGGCTGTCTTATGTTGTTGTCCTTGACTTTCTGACTATCACTGCACTTGATGAACACTATCTAGGTTATAGGATGTTATAGGATGTCTGCAGGTTGATAACAAAAAAACACAATTCGGCAAAAATATGATTGCTACACAATACTAGATTTGGTTATCAGAAGGAATGAGTTTATTAGGTCAGTCCGTGGCTATTTCGGTAAGTCGGCAGGACCCATCCTGCAGCACTGCAGTATGGGTGGGGCCGAGGCAGAAAGGTGGGATATTCAGTGGGAGAGAGAAGGAGGGGAGGATGAAAACAAGGAGTTAGCTGGTAGTCAGCAGGACCATGCTGTCTTGTTTTCAATCTCGCTGGCTCCTCACTGCTTAGCAACAACGAATCAGATCGTCGAATCAGAGCTGCAGCCCAGCCAATCAGCCGTCGGGAGCGTGGCGCCATAGAGTTTGGATTTTACCACGTGTGAGATGATACGCGTTGGAGAGGAGACCGCACTTATACAGGAGGAAAGAGAGAGAGAGAGAGAGAGAGAGAGAGAGAGAGAGGGTGATAGCAACGCTTTTGAAGTGTGTGTGTTTTTTATGCCTGTAGAAGTGTTTCTAAAACCACACCCTTTGCTCTCTGCTGCAGTGACCCTGCTGGATGTAAAGGTCCATTTTAAAGCACACTGCACATCTCAGACCTGTCACTCAAGTCCTCATTAGTCAGACTCCAGCTGCTGTGACAAAGACTCAAAACAATGACCACTTAACAGCTTCAGAGGACATTAATATAAACCTTTAAGTCTCGTCAGCGTGTGTCAAAGTGCAGATGTTATGTCATCTTTATTGGGGGGAGTTTGTTTTCTCACGAACTCAGACATTTAATAAAAGTAAGTGTTCATTTACATTAGACATTGTTATGCACTGATCGCAGCATATTCATGTTTGCCAAAGAAAAAGACCTTGTTCTGGTTCCATGCTGTGCTGTGCAAACTGCCTGCAGGTCATACAGCTTATCTTGCATTGAATTATGGGATTACCACACTTAAAACCTTTTACCTGAAAGATTATAAAACATATTTGCTGTAAGGCTTCATTTGTTCTCAGTGTGACCAGTTTGCGATTGTTTTCTGAGTTATTCAGACTCTCAATAAGACACGTTATCTGTAAGAATGTGCTGAAGGAATGCACTTGACTCTATCTCATCCTGCTGCTGCAGCTGGTGCTGCTGGGTGCGGCCGGCTCAGAGCTGCATCCATAACTTTCTCCCCACGTGCTCCCCATGCTCTCGTATTTTTGTTCTGCCTCTCGGTGTCTGCGCGGCAGCACAACTCCACACTCCAGCGTGCATCCAGGCTACTCGCTGTTGCATGGTTACAGACACTTTTGCCCTGCTATTGGCTCAGAGTTTCTCACAGCTTCCCTCCCATTGGCTGAGCGAGGAGAAAAACAGTGCTTCCATTGGCTGCCGGGTAGTGAAAGGTTGTTGCGATTGGTCCGGCTCCACGGCTCCCTCTCCTTGGAGACTTGGCCTGTGTAAACATCCTGGTTGCTTCTTTCAATGGGCTCTGTTTACCAGCAGCTCGGTTCTGCCGGTGTGATCAGCAGACTGAGGCATTGTCTCTGAGGAGCGGAGTCTGGTGAGAGCGAGGCTAATTGGCTCCCTGCTCCACCATACGCTCTGTGATTGAACAAGTACTATTATGATATTTTGACAGCATTACAGACAAGGACACTAACAACCCTCAGCCTGTCGGTAGCCTCACTATTCTCCATCTTTCTCCCCATTCCCACGTCTTCTCCAGCGTCTCTCAGCCTGTGTCTGTCACAGTCTGCAGCAGCCCCACAGGCTACATGTTATCCCTTTGGTGGCGAGCAGAGCGACGGCGTCTCGGGGCTCAGACGTGGAAAAGAAATTGCCTCGAGTTCTAAATGGGCTGTTTGTTTTGTTTGAGTCGTTTTTATTGTTTGCTTTAGTACTATTTTTTTAATAGCTATTCCCCTCCTCCACTTTTCGTTTTCTCCATTACTATCATGATACCTAAGTTGTAGAGTTAAGTGCCCCCCCCCCATCCCAAACCCACTCTCCACGCCATCTTATCCTTTATCTGGAGTACAAAGAGTCCACAAAAGCCTTTGATCTCTGTTCTCAGAATGAAATTCTTCTATCTCTTTTATTCCGTGAAGTTGAACTCGATGCTCTCAGTGACTTCTTCCCCGTTTTTTACATTCACAGCATGACTTACAGGGGGCGGGGCCAGCCCAGCGAAAGGCCGCCAAAGCTTCCACCCTCTCAGAGAGCTGACTGCTTAGCAACAACCAATCAGCCTAATATTTTTGGCAGGGTTTGTCATCCAATGGAGAGGGTGAGAGCGGGCTTTAGTGCTCTGTTTTCATTGGTGGCTGACAGGAAAAACAATGTTTTTCTTAGTGCTCTACACTTCACTGCTATCGGCAAGGCTGGTATTGCTAAGAGCAGATTTGGGGAGATAATCTTGGCTTTGATAGGACTGAAAGACACATGGCTCATTACTGTTAAGAGTTGCTATTTGCATTTTTATGTAAACTCTCAGATCAGTGAGGGGAAACAACTTCCTGGTCCAGAACAGCACATGTAACTCCCTGTAACATAACATAACCCTTACTAAAATTGATTTGCCACCTCTGAAACAATCAATTTGTGAGTTCTCTTAATTCTTTTACATCCTTGAGCACGCTCCTTCCCCGTCATGAGTGAAGAGTGTTCGATATGTGAGATCAATAAGGGATTATAGCTAGTCAGTAGCAATTCACCTGCTCAATCCAAGTGATGGATAACACACGGGGGGGCAAATACACTCGGCTTGTTTGACAACTCTCACAGTGCCCGTAAAAAAAGATGATGGATGATGTCCATGTTTTATTTTTTCCCCCACTTTTATCAGTTGTGAGAATTAACAAGTGTAACAGTGTCTCTTCCCCTTGGCAACTGTTGTCTAGTTGCCCTCAAGGGAGGCAGTTAAAACCCCATATGCCCCTGTGGCCAACAGAGGGGTGTGTGGGTGTGTGTGTGTGTGTGTGTGTGTGTGTGTGTGTGTGTGTGTGTGTGTGTGTGTGTGTGTGTGTGTGTGTGTGTGTGTGTGTGTGTGTGTGTGTGTGT